CATGATATGGAGATTGAAAATATTGTCGCAAATACTGTCTATATTAAAGCACGAGAAAGTAGGTTATTATTAATCAGTTTTGTTTGCGAATTATTCAGTCTACGAGTGAAAAAATAATCCATAAGGAACACTTTCCACTTTGTGCATGCCGATCGAATGTTCCAGTCAACTGACCTATTGCGAGCTCCATCAGTCGTGACTTAAGTTCGATTCTATAACTGGTATCAATATAGGTTGTATAAGTCATGATTAATACGAGCGTATGTTTCGGTCGTGTCGTTATATGGAAAGGATATGAAGTCAAGTCATCACTGATGGATTCTGCAATGGCTCTGTCGCTTAAAGATTGTTATCGACCTTTTCACTTACTGTCTACGAATCATATTATGTCTTAGCCAACATTGTCACTAAAAAGTTTTGTATTTAACACCATTATCAACTCCTGGGCAAGAGTTGCTGTATTGCTTATTTCTCGCGATCGCCCCGAATCATCGTTTATTCTCACCTTGAACGTTTCTCGTCTCGTCTTCTCGCGAACAAATTGACAAGAAATGATTAACAAACAAACTGTAACTGAAGTGCACCTGAACAACAATCTCTTGTTCTCAGTAAACGATTCGAGTTCGAAGATAAATCACGAAGAAAAACATGGCGTGTTTTTTCTGACAACAAAGATTTCTGCAAGGATCGGATACGTCAGGCAAAACAACAAGTGGATAGCCCCAAGTCCCAGTTACCTGGCTAGAATTATGAATACGAAGTTTCCAGCATATTCCATGCTTATAAGCTTAGTGAGTAATCGCAGGTGCATTTCTGAAGAGGAATTCGAAGTGGATCAAAATGTGCCTCAACAAATTCTGGCCACTGAAGTCAAACATTAGACTGTAGGAATAACCGCAGGAAGAGTGTATGGATTTGACATCTGACTATACCATCAGAAGTGGGCCACAGCAACTTTTATGACCATTTCAGTCCTGATCTATGGCTCTGTTGAGAAGACGACTGAGAAGAATTGGAAAATCGAACTTGAGCAAATAATTTGTCAAGTTTATTTCGTTACGTTGTAAAATGGGTATCGATTTGCGTGTGATTGATGCTGAGGGTGATTTTAATGATGAGCATTTGTTGTTGTCGAAGTGATTTTCAGTGAATTTTTTTTGAGAAACGAAACTTTCCGAATGATTTTCGAATCGCATTTGAGCCTTAGTTTGAATCAACAACTGCCTCAGCTTAAAATCAATTGCCGTCAACAAAACACTATTTAAAACGTATGCTAAATACAATAAGTGCATATCCGAGCCCTCAGTTGGCGGTATTGAAAGACTCTCAGACCAGATATGTTCTCGTGCACAAATAACAAGAACGCATTCTTCAAGTGTTGATGACAACGTCTGAATATTCGTTCAAAAGCAGTCAAAGTAATCGGGATGGGAAGTCTCTGTTTGGCTGATGCAGAAACGATGGTTTCTGGGAATACCAATAACTCACGATGTCAAATGCTGTTTCATTTTCGATGGATCTCACATTGTAATGCATCCCTTTCAATAAATCGACATCGTTCGATGCGAATAACAAAGGCATTGTAATGTCAAAACACAACTGCATAATAATTACTCTGAAATGCAGTGTCATATTCTTCTTTGGAATGAATCGGTGACACTCTATGAAAGCGAGCGTATCATTTCTTGTTTAAAGTCCGTCTGGTTGTTTCTTGTCTGCCTTTGACCGATTCTCGTTTATTTCTCCTACTTTACGCTTATCGCTTCATTAATTGCTCGGTTAGGCATCCACTTCTATCCTATATTCACTCATGAATGGTGAAAGAGTGATTAATGTTATTGTGTCGAATTTAGGTGGTGGACAAAAAAAGGGTAAAAGTAAGAAATGGAAAAACTATTTACAATTTCCACACTATTCGGAATGTTTGTATTTACGTTCAGAAATTGATTTAAGGTTGGCGTTTTCTATTGAGTTTAGATTTTAATTCGACTTTGTATAGGTGATGCAGCAGTCTATTCCCCCATATCCGATCCTTTCCATATTTGAACGGTTGAGTATTGGGGTATTATGTGCAATTCGTGATTATCATCAAGAATTCGATCAGTCCGTTTAGATTCGATCCAGGCAATATAAAAAAGTTGAAACGGTTACTGGTCTGACCTTGTTAAAAAAGCTAATTGTAAGCAGTTCCATAATTTTTCATATTGTGCTGAGAGTAGAAATTTTTTGGCTAGTTCTGACTGGGAGTGGAGATCTTGCGAAAGTGGTCAGATAGGTGAGCTGAGAATGGTAAAAGGGTTGTTGGTGGTAATGTAATGTAAGTGAAGAGGATAACTTGCATCGA